AATTCACTTTTCTTATGTGCCATACTTCTGAATTTTGGTGGAAGAGGGGGTGGAATACAAAGAGAGATGGGGACTAAACTTTTGATTTTGCTGTTGTAAAGGGATAGTGGTTGAGCAAACACCTTCCACCAGTGCAGGTTGGCATCTTCTCTGTAACTTAAAGTTTTAGGAGAAGTTTTGACTTGCCTAGAGTCACACAGCCATTATATGTCAGAAGTAAGACTTGAATCCAGGTGTTCCTGGCCCCCCCGCCAGGCTCTTTATCTACTATAATATGCTGCCTCTTACCCTAGTAAGTTTCTTGTTACCATTTTAAGAAAATAATTTCATAGTTTCTATATACTTTTGAATCTTCATATGATTTTTTTTAAATTTCTTTATAGTGTTGCCTAAATGTTCACTCCATCACCTTAAACTACTTTAGGTTATTCTTTTAACAAAAGTCAGGAATTTCCCCATTTTATGATTTTGCATTACTGGACTTGAACCATATGTGTGTCTGTCTGAGGTCTCATTGTGATAATAGCCTCTTCAAATATTTACCGATATACATATATATATATATACATATATATACATATATATACATATATATACATATATATGTATATATATACATATATATACATATATATACATATATATGTATATATATGTATATATATACGTATATATATGTATATATATGTATATATATATATATATATCTCAGGGGTAGGAAACCTGCAGCCTCAAGGCCACATGTGGCCCTCTAGGCCCTCAAGAGCAGCCTTTTGACTGAATACAAACTTCACAGAACAAATTCTCTTAATAAAAGGATTTGTTCTGTAAAACTTAGACTTGGTCAGAAAGCTACACATAAGGTCCTAGAAGGCCATATGTGGCCTCAAGGCTGCAGGTTTCTCACCCCCAATATATATATATATACACACATATGTATGAATATTATAATTAAAGAAAAGGCACAATCACTTCTCTCATGAAGACTGCATTCTAAAATGGACATATTACCATGGGTCTCTAAAAAGCAGGGCAAAAACAAATGACTTGGCAATAAGTGGGTTTATGTATAAGTGTAATTCCTTTTGGTTAGGAGCTATGTATTAAAAAAGTAATGTATAAACATTTTTACTTTAAATGCTTTAGTAAAGCTTTTCATTTCAAGAAATGCAATGTCCCAAAAGTCCTAGTATAGCATTAAGCTTTAGCAGATTAAAACTGCACTAGATTTTTGAATATATGTATTATTGTGATTCTTTCTATAAATAATGGATCATGCCCACCTTTTGGTAGGGCAACTGACTATACAGATAAGAGCAATGGAGTACAGGGATCTAGTCCTGTCCCCTCTACTACTAACTTATAATATGCAGGTACATTGCCTAACATCTCTGAGCGCCAGTTTCCTTATGAGTAAAATTATGTGGTTAGTCTAATCTATGAGATCATATTCAGCACCATAATTCTGTCAACCAGGTTTGCTTCAAGCAAGGTACTTTTTTTCAAATGCTGTATAGAGGCAAATAAATAAATAAAGACTAATATTTTAAGATCATCTTGTCATCCTACCCCAATCTATGTAGATTTGGAGGGAAAGATGGAAGGGAGAGTTGTATGTAGTGAAAAAAGAAATAAAACAAATTCTCCTGGATGTAGAAAATAGGAATAAAATGAAGAGTTAGCTCATTAGTAGTATTAGCCTTAATATAGTAAATTTGCAGTTTCATGTACAATCATCTTATATATTGTACTATGTTATGAAAATGCTTGTTTTATTCCATAAATTAAAAATAATTTTTTTAAAAAGTAATCTATGAAAAGTTCTCCAGGAAACCAAGATAAAAAAATTCTCTTTTATCTCTCCTTCTGTCTTTCTGGTACATCTAGTCTTCAAGGCTGCTTGGAAGTATAGTTGATAGATCTGTAGTCAGAAAGACCTGAATTCAAATCCTACTTCAGTTACAATAGTTGTGTGCACCTGGGCAAATCACTTAGTTTCCTCTTATGTAAAATAGGGATAATAATAGCTCCTAATTCCCAAGGCTGTTGCAAAAATATGATGAGATAAAATGTGTACTAGACGTTGCAAAACTTAAATTGTTATATGAATTCTAGATAGTATTATTATTATGGTTATTATTATGCCTGAGCAAGATGAATTTAAGTCAAGTTATTTATTAAACACTACTAAGTTCCAGCCACTGTGGTAAGTGGTGGCCTTCGTGCATCCTATGCTTAACCTGAGGTGAAATTGCAGAGTTGCTTTTGGGTCTTCCTTTTCATCTTTGTTTTTGGTTATGTTGCATATACCTAGGTCGCTCAATAGACATGGTGTTGAGCCTGAAGTCAGGTGACCTGAATTCAAATCTGGCCTTAGACACTGAACAAGTCATTTAACCTCTGGGTTTGCCTCAGTTTCCTCAACTGTAAAATAGGGACAATATCACAGGGTTGTTGTGAAGATTTAACCAGATAATAATTATGAAATGCTTAGCACAATGCTAAGTACAAAATAGCTGCTATATAAATCCTTATTCCCTCTCTTTCCTCATTATGTTGTAGTCAGTTTGTTCACATAGTGAAGTTCAGAATGTAGAGTGAAGGCTAGCTGACTCTGGTGTTTTCTTCAATCTATCCATTCATTCATCATATGTTTATGGAACACTTTCTCAGTTTGAGCCTTCTGCTGTGGACTATAGCATACTGAGCTCTCTACTCCTGTTCATGGAATCACGGGGACATAGATTTTGACCTAGAAAGAACCTTGACATCGTCTAGTCCATACCCCTTACTTTACAGACAAGGAAAATGAGGCAGAGTTGAAGAGACTTCACACAGGTGGTTAATAATAGAGACAGGATGTGAACAGGTCCTCTGACTCTGATCGTATCAAAGCTTTTAAAGAGATGGGCGGCTGGAAAAATCTCTGAAATGGAGTCTTCAAATTTAATTTTAAATTTAACTCAAACTCTCAAGATGTTAGCCTTAATTTTCTTCCCTGAGTATCTTATGTGAATGTTAAAAAAAAAGCATGATTTTTATACATTCATTTACCTCATTAATGGAAATGTTGAATAGCAAGTAAAGAAACCAGACCTATATCCCTAGGTCACCTGATTTTCTACTTTATCTTTTCTATTCATTTGACCATCTATCATCATGTTGCCATTAAGTCTATTTATAAAGTATTTCACTTCAAGGAGTCAACAACATATCATTACTTCAGCCAAGGGAACATTTCTTACTTCATCACTCCTGAAACACAATCTAAGAATCAAGCACTTTACTTTAAAAAGTGTTTGTATATACCACACTCCAAAAGGACAACTAGTGGATGAAGGTCACTTCTTCCTAAAATAGTGTAAGCATGGAGAGCTTGCAAAAACTGAATAAGTGTCTCTGTAGTAAGGCTTTCTATCACAATGAAAAATTAATTGATAAAGCGGCCAATTGGACTTGACAGTTCTCTAGTTCTAGTTCTGTGATGCCTCATTATCATAGAATATTGGGGTTGAAATAAGAACTCTGTGGGGTACAGTGCATGTGCTGGCATTATGGAAGGATCAGTTTCAAATGCTATTCCTTTGTTCGTGGAAAACTTACATCATTTTCTGTAAGGGCAGGATCTATCTAAGTGTAATTTTATCCTCCTAATGCAGGTAGTGAAACCAAGCTAATCTTTGATAGACAAAGCCAAATTATTTTCTCTTTATTTTAATTCAAGGACAGCACTATGTTCTAGGGAAAACCAAATGTCATTTTGACTTTAAAATTACTTATTTAGAAAAGCAGTTGTAAATCTCTGGTATTAAAATGTTTGCAGCTGGTTAACTCAATAGTATAAAGTACTATGTTAATAAGAACAAGGTCAGGAGAACCATTCTTGTGTTGGTCACCAGTTACCTTTGCTCCTTTCTGTGGTCAGAGCTCATACCCCTAATCCAAGTTACATATTTTGCAAATATAGGCCATTGGGTATAACACAGGTAATATGCAAGTGTGGATGGATTGGTGCAAATGTTTTACCACTACTGGGGGTAGAGAAAAGGGTCTAGAATAGACCATTAATATTATTTTTTGTTGATCAAGCATTGATGGTATTTTATATTGAAATAAGTCTGATTCTTAAATTTAATTGTATTTCAAGCAGATAAACTAGTAGCTCATTCAATGAAATTCATATCTGAGATTAATCTTGGAAAATAATTTGATTTCCCCTCCAAATCTTGGGACTTATTAGCTATTGAAGAGTCAGTAGGGACTTTTGTTTCTCATCCTTTAATCACACAATCTAATAAATCTGTCCTTAATTCCCACATATCTTTAAATGGAAGGTCAAAAATTAATAAATAGTATTTCCACCAAGAGGGAGATCCCCCCTCTCCTTGCATCTGATGGCAGCCATACCTGAGGAAAGCATCAATGAAGAAACAATAGACACTTACCTAGTAATCCGCAGAATACACTCATTAGACTCCCTGAACCTCTCTGACTCCAAACCTGTCTCCTATTACTATTTCTCTTCCAAAAAAGACTTTCACAGATAGAAAGTTTTCACAGGCTTTGGAGTCAGTGAGCCACAGGCACAACCAGAAAAGGGACTTAAGCAGAAAAATTCAGTTTCGGCTAACTCTCCAAGGTATACATGTTGTACTTTGTCCTCATGAGTTCATAGGGATAACTTGTATTAGTTTTATGTATTTCATAATAGATGCAGACATAAATAATCAATATCTATATGAATAAAAGCAATTATAAAATAACAGAAGACAAATGAAATTTTTATGCTAAATCTTTAAGGATAAATTGGCATATCCTTCACCAAATATCCCATTTACTGACTATGTGCACACATACACACATATACAAGCTGATTCAATGTATTTTATTGAATAATTTACATTATGGTAGAAGTATACTAAAATCTGGCTAAATAACTTATTTTCTTATATTAAATTTTTTTAAATGTCTAGATTATTATTTCTTCGTACTATTCTTACCCGTGTTCATGTGGTATCATCGAATTCCATGGTTGGCATTTGATACCACTCTTAGTTATAGATATAGTTCCCTTGTAGCTTCCCCCTTTACCAATGATACAGTTTCTAATGTAATCTATTGGAAGAAAGCAGAGAAAATATTAAAAGCATGTGAGACATATGCTTTACTTTTTAAAGATGGAAATAAAAACTCCATTCAAACCTGTAAGTAATTAGCTCAGCCTTATACATTATTTCAATTAACAGAAAAAAAATTCTGCTATAAGGATTTCACAAAGCATTCAGAACATTTACTACCTAGAAGTTTGAGGGTATTAAAAAACTAATGATATTGGTTAAATATTTTTAAATTGATGTCAAAATTAACAAAGTAACAATCTTATTTAGATAAATGAATATATTATTTGTGAATATGTATTTTACTCTTATCTAAATTGTTTTATAAATGTTCAGTTGAGATTTTCCCTGTCCTTATGTAGGTTTTACTTGCCAAATTAAAGCTAAGATAGCCAGAATTCATTATGTATGCATGTATGCATGTGTGTGTGTATGTGTGTGTGTTTAGATGATCATCTTCTGTTAAATGTGTAAGATAGTGATGTCAAACTGGCTCCCAAGCAGGCCACATGTTGATTTAGAAAACCACATATTGACATTAAGTATGCATTTTTTTTTATTTTGTTAAATATTTCCCATGCATACTTTAATCTAGTTCAGCCACACTTAGGGCTACCTGGAGCATGTTTTGACACCTACGGTGTAAGATACTAATTCTTCCTACCTCATGGAGACAATGAATACAAAAATATTCTACAATCATAAAGAACTTTATAAATATAAATTCAGCATCATTATCTTTGAGCATCTAGCCAATGACCAGGGAAATAATCAAAGTAGATATACAGTTTACATACGCAGATTCATGTGCCTAAAAATAACAGTTCAATGTCCTAACACGTTATTATGCATATCTTTAAGGTTCCATTTAAAAAATGAATGTGTACTATTCATTGCCATTAATAAAAGCTAAAAACAATATATACATATTTTATACACTATAGCTCTGATGATTTCAACCAATATGAAATATTATTGACATAATTAATATTCTTTGGCTATTTATCATTAAACATCCTGGACAAAGTATCTTGTTAATATTCTCTATAATTTGTTCAGATTATCAAACTGACAAATTATGGAATATCTTGGTCTAGATTTCACTTTTTAAGTTTATTTAAGGATGCAATTAAAAGCGTCTGTTATTTTTTTTCTTATAGATAGAATTTCTTACTTCCCTCAAATCTCTCTATCAAAGTGATAGCAGTTATATTACTACAGTGGTCAAAACAAGTTAAATTTTGATCCACAAAAATATTAATTCAAAATAAAGAAATATAAAATAACATAAATAACTTTTTAAAATTTCATGTTTGGTGATTTTCAATCACAGCTTAAAATTCAAAATTTGTATATAAAGTAGGATATCTTTGGGTTGGTATTAGAAAACATGACTAAAATCAACCTTATAACATAGCTTTTTAAAAAATCATATATAGTTATGTTTCTGGGATATAATTGGACCCATTTGAATCTACTTAATAATGAATCATACTATAGTTGTATTTAATACTCTTCTTTATTGGACTTACTAAAATATTTTAAAATTTGAAAAATTAATGCCATATATACTGGCTTTCTATTATTCAGTGCATTTCAAATTTTGCACAAGGGAAAAAGAGCTTTCCTAAAATTTCTGACATCTTTTTTTTCCGGGAGCTGAAATACTGTTCATTTTACTAATGAGTTGGTGAGGGTTGTGTTCTGCTGCCGTTCTGTGAGATGTCTACCTGGTATGGGCCATGTCACACCAGCTGCAAAAAACAATTCTGTGCTTTGAGGAGAGATTTCTAGCTTCACTGTCTTTTGGGAATGTTCTTCAAACACTTAACACCTGTTACTGTATATATTTGACCAAACCAAAAATCTGTCATGACAGAATTGGTCGTGTAGTACCAATGTCCATCACGAAAAGCATTATTGTGTTACATGTAAATAGAACAAATAGCAAAGCTGCTGTCTGGAATTCTGCTGTGTCAGGTCAGGGACTTTTTTACCTTGTAGAGATTTACAATGAATTTTCACAACACTGTGTAAGTAAAGAGCTCAGAGTTCACGATTTGATTGGCTAATTATATATGTTAAGTTGGACCACAAAATGTCATTTTAGATGAAAATTAATGGAATATTTGATTTCTAAGCCACTATTTTAGACATAAATTAATTTTTAATTTCCCTGCTCAATTTTATCTAATTACCTTGAGAAATCATAATCTCCACCTGAATCTTTTTTTTTATGTAGAAAGGGTTTAATTATAGTAATTTTGAAATCATGTAGCCAAGATACAATTACTGCCAACACTGTTTTATGGAATTTACAATGTAATTTGTTTGAAATAATAAGCACAATTTTGTTTTAGTATTTTATGATTTATATAGCACTTTCATATACATTATCTCATTTAATCTTTAGAACAACTGCAAAACAAGTAGAATAGGTGTTACTGTCCTGATTTAACAGACAATACTGAAACTCAAAGACTTTAAGGGGCATTTTTGGCAGTACATACAAAATTCTTTGAGTAACAAGTCACAGTTCCCCTCAGGAAAATAGTCAAGCAATCTCTCCAACCAAAAATGCTCTAACTGAAATGGTTATGAATGTTTTTAGTGTCTCTTAATTTATTGTTGAGTCATTTTTCAGTCATGTCCAACTCTTCATGACCCCATTTGGGGTTTTCTTGGCAAAGACACTGGAGTAGTTTGCCACTTCCTTCTCCAGCTCATTTTACAGATGAAGAACTGAGGCAAACAGGGTTAAATGACTTGCCCAGGGTCACACAGCTAGTTAGTGCCTGAGGCTGAATTTGAACTTAGGAAGATGAGTCTTCCTGATTCCAGGCCTGGCACTCTATCCACTGGGCCACCTAGCTGCCCCTTTTAATTATTTAACTGACTGCGTAATGAATCCAATCAGTTGTGAAGAATCAGTTTTTAAGTTATTTTGAGGATGACGGAAGTACTAATGAAGTATTTATTTGTTGGTGGTATATAAACATAGCCTTAGTCATTTTCATAAGGAAGAGCTGAATCCAACTGTTGTCCTTCTGAGAGGCAGCTGGGACACAGCAGAAGGTACACTGGACAGGGAATCAAGACACCTGATTCCAGTTCTCCCACTAACAACTTAGCCATGAGTACTTGAACACATCTCATGACCTCTCTGGCCAGGTTTTCTCATCATCTATAAAATGATGAGATTAGATTAGATGATCTCTCACATCGATTAAAGTTCTAAAAGTTGTGATTTTGGAATAAAATTTAAGGAGAATCAAGTTACCTTTGTTTTCATACAGATCAAATTCATGGTCATGCTTCTTTCTCACTCCATTTGACATGCTATTGAAAGGGAACCAATGACATCGTTTTTTTGCTTTGTCAAAAGCAAAGGCCCTGAAAAAAATATCTGAATGAAAAAAAGGAATACCACTTTTTATATAGCTTTTACAATGGGGGTACATGGTATACCAAGGAGAAAAATATGACAGTAAATACATTATTACATAGGCACAAAAGAAACTCAAATGACATTCAAACCCTCTCATGTGATCTTTACAATACAGAATAAAATTAACTTTCTATGGTCTTCACTTAAAATACCAGTTTTCTCACTCATGCGTTTTCACTTTTAATTTTACATTTTTCTTGTAAAAATGAGAACTTTAAGTCATTATATGAAAGCACCCAATCTTGTTTACATTGTAAAAAAAAATTCTATTTTTCTTTCAATGATAAAACTCAACTAATAAGAATTTCATGCTTTTATTTAGAGAACAATCATTTATAGCTACCATAGTTTACCCAATATTATAAAGTGCTCAAGAGAAAAAAAATAAAATGTTAATGGAAAATATTGCTAAGATGTCTGTCTAGTCACTGTTATTCTAGAGAAGTACTATGAGTGAGATTTTGTTCACTATCATTCTCTCAAGACAAACCTCTAAGCACCGCATGTACAAAAAGAGCTATAAACACAAACATCATTATAATACAACAATTAAATACTTTATTTACCCTGTTCACTTGTAGATATTAATATTCCTTAGGTTAGCCTAATTGGCAAACTGAATTTTTCTCCCTTTTGATACTTTAAAATTGTTATAAAATTCTTCTAAATGGACTCTTTGAAGAAGCTGATGCAAGTCTCACATGACATCCACTTCCCCAAAATTTATTTAGATTCTTTCATGATTATTTTATAGGTATACTATTCTATTACATATCTGCATTTTCTCAAAATATGGCATTTGTTTATTATCTATGTATATTATATAAATAAAGATATTTTTGAATTTGAGAAAGTAATAGTGGGAAGCAAAGTTCTAGACTTTAGAACTTCGCACATTTAACTGGAAAAAAATAATCTGTAAAACTGATTTTTTTTGGTACTTGTCAGGAAATGACATAAGGCAATAACATATAGGGAAATTCTGTTTTAATCAATTAAAAGCTAAGAATGTATAAATATTGAATCATGAATTATATTTAGTAACAATAGTTTTATCAGGTAGGTCTAGTACAGGGATGGGGAACCTGTGGCCTTCTAGGTCCTCAAGTGCAGCCCTTTGACTGAATCCAAACTTCACAGAACAAATCCCCTTAATAAAAGGATTTGTTCTGTAAAACTTGGACTCAATCAAAAGGCTGCACCCAAGGACCTAGAGGCCACAGGTTCCCTACCCTTGATACTGTAACAACATTACTGCTTAGTGAATTACATTAAAACCACTCTTCTTCATTCTTCCTTCTATTTCATCTAATTAGAATATTTTTTTCCTTCTTCTCAAGATAATACTGCAAAACTGTTTTATCTATCTCCAAAACTCCCTTTGTTTTAGCTCCCCAACAAATTAAAATATCTTAAAGCCATCTGTTCTGATATTATCATTGTTACCTTAATTTTTCTTATCTTCATTTCCTTTCCATTTATTATATAACTTTCAACTACCGGCTTTAGTTATCTTTTATAGTATCTACTTTATGCATTCCTTCAATGCAAAGTGGTATTGTGGAAAGAGCAATGGTCCTCAAATAAAATGACCCGAGCTCAAATTTTAGTTCAGCCATGTAAGAATGGGTATGAAATTTGATCTCTCTGTGCCTAGTATAATGGAGAACAGGCTGATGAGGTCCTAGTCCTTAGAGTCTACATGGATATGCTCTGCCTGGTGGGTTCTATAGATCATACACAATATTACATCCCTGACTTCAATCCAATACATAGATCTTTGGTGAATGTGTTTGGAGCAGGTGTAATGGAGAGGTTTTTTGCCTTAATTCATAGCATTGACAGATGTAGTCTATTTCCTGTCAGCTCACTGCATGATGATAAGACTTCTCATTCAATTCAACAAACATTTATTAAGCACTTACTATATGCCAGGCACTGTGCTAAGAAGTGGAGGTACTAGTAAGAATAAGAGAACTGTCCTTGCCCTCAAGAAGCTTATAATCAAACGGGGAAAACAACACATGAAAGGAAGCTGAAGAGGGGGTGGCAGTTGGAGTGGGTTATGGGAGTGGGGGGAGAAGTTCAGGGAGATGTTTTGTGAAGTTGAAGCCAAGCAGAGCTGCTGTTGGAACAGGGATGCTGAGATGAAACTGAGTGTAGTAGGCTGGAGGAAACTCCCTCAGGAAACACTCGGAAACACTCTCTCTTTCCTGGTAACATTTAAGTGAAGAGGAAGAAATACTGTGAGCCTTAAGGCAAGAAAAGAGGTAATAACATCAGTGGAATGTCACAGCTGCCTTATCTCAACACTTGGGAACCATGTGGTTTTGAATGCATGGTCCCTGTATTTCCTTCACTTCTTTATGTTTATTCTTCTGTTGTTTTTTTTTTTATCTTGGGCAAATGAGTATCAGAAAAGAATGGATTACTTTATGACATTGTGAGTTTTAAAAATATTGGAAGATCTTATCAAAAGGCCCCTCAGGGACAGCATCCAATACAATCAATAGCTGAATTCAGTGAATTCAACCTTGACAAGTAACCTACTTAACTCTTCCCAGCAATGAATTGACCAAGAATCCCAGATACCATCTCTTATAAGTAATGGAGTGACTCATCCAATTCTACAACCAAAACTGAATTTGTTGGGGACATCTTTATGGAAGAAAAGGATTCCCAGAGTCATTAAGTATCACTTTTGCCCTGGTTGGGGATAGGGATATATATTGTAGCAGCCAATTTAAGTTTGGGTCTGTTCTCCTATTGTTGCACCTCAATCATTGCTTTACTTTCTCAGCAAATAAGGCTTTTTAAAAGCTAATTGATATTCATTGGTTAATTAGTAGTTGACAGAAGTTAGCTATTTAAGTGATAAGTGATAATGTCAGAAAATGAATGCCAGTGCCTCTGGAACCCTTGGAGGGAAGAAGTATTCGCTACCTTTTAGCGACCTAATTTGCTAAATTGAGTGATAGTTCAAAGAGTGAGCCCATAGTTGGTGCTACACAAGATTTCTTTATTCAAAAAAACACCTATTACAACTTGTACTACTTACCTTGAGGGGTTGTTGTGAGGAAAAGTCTTTGTAAACCTTTTAAGCTCTATGTTGGACATAGTTCATTTTACTTATCTATCATATTAATTCAACATTCTTCCCTTAATTTCCTAGATACATTTTATCTTGGAAAAATCTTAATTAAATAATAGCCTAATTATAAGCAGACCATTCAGATTTCTTGATTATTTATTATATGCAATATGCTGTGGAGATAAAAATTAAGATCCATCATCTAGTGGAACAGGTATTGTATTTGGAGACAGAGAACCTACATTCAAATCTTGTCTCACTGCCTCATTACTTATGTATACTTTTACAAGTATTTTAACCTTTCTGAGCCTCAGTTTCCTTATCTGTAAAATGAGAGAGTAGGTAATAGGTGACCTCTAAGGTTCTTTTATCTCTGTGATGCTATGATGTTTTAATCCAAATATTCTAAAGTCTAACACCTCACCTCCATGTCTTGGAGTCACACAGTTCAAGGGCCATTTTCTTCACTGAAGTCATTTATGATCCCTCCAGATAATAGTGCACTCTCTTCTAAAATGACTTTGTATTTAATGTGTATGTGTGTGTATTCTGTATATACATATATATGTATATATGTGTGTGTGTATATGTGTATGTGTATATATGTGTGTGTGTGTGTGTGTGTGTGTGTGTGTGTGTGTGTGTATTTATCAGTAGCTAACATATAATGTTGTTGTTGAGTCGTTTCAGTGGCATGCAAATCCTTGTGACCCCATTTAGGGTTCTCTTGGCAAAATACTGGAGTGGTTTGTCATTTCCTTCTCCAGCTCATTTTACACATTAGGAAATTAAGGCAAACAGGGTTATATGACTTGCCCAAGGTTATACAGCTAGTAAGTGTCTGAGGTCAGATTTGAACTCAGGAATATGTCTTCCTGACTTCTCGGAAGTCTATATACTGTGCCACCTACCTGCCTTCTAGCACATAATAATAAGCTTGTTGATTGCTTGATAGGAGTGTTGTCAGATCGGCAAATGAAATGAGTAATATGATTAAAATGCAACCAACACTGAAGAAGACATGATGACAGTTCGAATTAGTAACCTGCTCATCAGCCTATTAACCTAAAAGATCTTCACATTGTAATTTTTCTGTTTGTATTACAATTGTGATTTTAGGTATAATCTCTTGTGGATTCAGAAGATCTCTTTGGGGCCTTATTAATATGTTCTTCAATAACAGATAAGGTCAATCTAGAACACACAAGTTTTGCCACATTTACACATATGTCTCCACATGTGGAGATTGGCTTTTTATTGTTGTTGTTATTTCCATCATCCTTTTTTCATTATTTAATTATGGTAAAAGATGTTCTGAATGCGTTATACACGCTTATACTCTGCCTCTCCTTGAGTTTATGTCTTTTATGCTTTTTATCTTTAACCAATTTTGAAACAATCTTAAGAACCCTCTTTTTATTTTAAACTTTTTCTCTGATGCATTTTAGTTATGTTGTTTCCTCTCTAGCCAGCTGAGAATCAATCAGTAAACATGTACTGAATGCCAGCTATGTGCCCAGCATCTTGCCAAGCACTGGGGATACAAAAAGAGGCAAAAGATAATCCCTTTTCTCAAGGAGCTCACAGTCTAATGGGGGAGATGACAAATCAATCATCTAGTCATATTTCCTACACAGCAAAGATGAAACTTAATAATACTGATATTAAAGCCCGTTCACACACTGATCCCAAACCATCTTTCCAGTTTTATTTGTCAATATTCTACAGCTCTATGTTCAAACCAAACTGAAATACTAGCCATTCCTCAAATCTTTTTTCTCCTTCTTATGCCGCTTTGCCACTATTAGCAATGCTTTCCATGCTTACCTAAAATGCATTTTAATCAGCTACTTTACCCCCATCAATTTGTTATATCTTTTCCATCCTTTAAGAGATGGAATAATACACATCACAGAATAGGGAGAAAAGACAGTGGATGAAGAATGGTTTAAGATTATAATTCTAACATTCACTAGCTCTATCCAAGGACAAACGACATCAACTGAGTTTGTTCATCTGTAAGATGGAAAGGAAACAATATTTAAATTCTACCTGGCACGCATGGATGTTGTTAGAAACATATTTGAAACCTTAAAATACCATTCACATGTAAATTATTATTATTATTATTATTATTATTATTATTATTATTATTATTATTTAATGACTATTTCAGATACTATGTTCTCCAGATCTTCACAGCCCAAAGTGATATGCTCTTCGTGGAAATTATCATATAACTTTGTTTCTACCTCTTTCACATTTTAATTTATATTTTTGTATTATAATTTGTGTTGTGATTAATAAATATCCTTGGCTTATCTTCCCTATTAGATACATCCCTTGCTGTCAGGGATCATTTCATGCATCTTTCCATTCCCAAGGTCTTAACATAGTGCGTTATAATACCAGACACTTAATAAATGTTTTATGTAAAAAAGTTAATAACAGTCAAAATGCTTAGTAGTATTTTCTTAAGTCAGAATGCTAGTATTTATTTATCTGTGTTCCCACTTGGTCCAAAGATGCTCTGGCAGCCATGATGATTTTTTTCTTCCTAGAAGTTCAATATGACTTGTCTCTGGTCCATTAAACAATGGAAATAATATATAATTTCATAATAAGCTATGAGCTAAATTCAAAATATCACAATTTTCATATATAAGTAGAAACTATAAAAGTGGCAAATCTGACTAAAGCAAAGAATTCAGTTTGGAAATATAAAGAGGATACCATCTCATTCCTGTCTGTATCCAGGGAGACATTTGCTATTCGTAACTCAGCCACAAACTAGAAAATGAAACTAACATGATTTAGGGGAATGACTGAGAGTGAGAAAATCTGAGTTAACGTCTGAGATTCTTTACTTACCAGCTACATGACATTGGTCCCCAGTTTCCTCATCCATAAAATGAGAGCATTAAACAAGATGCTATCTAAGATTTTTGATAGTTCTAAGTGTATGATAATAATGAAAATAACCAGCACTTATGCAGAACTTGTAAGTTCTGTGAATCATTATATATGATACCTTTCTCCTTACAACAATCCTTTGAGGTTGGTACTATATTGTACCCATTTTACAGAAGCAGAAACTGAGGCTGAAAGATTTCAGGTTAAGTGACTTGCCCAAGGATACACATATGTCTGAGGCAGCATTTGAACTCAGTTCTTCCTGACTCTAAGTTCAATACTCTACCCACTGCTGTACCTAGCTACCTCTATTGCTGATAAGAGTAATGAGCAATTTGATTTACTACATCCTGAGAAGACTGAAAAAAGTGGTGCCTACTGAATGCATGGCTTATTGCCTAAAAGACATAACTTGAGGAAAGTATTCGTTTTCCCAACAGGAAGAAGAGAATATATTCTGACAGCCAGCTCCTAGTTTAGGCCTGTTGTTTCAGCCTGTCAATGCACTTGCTCTGAAAAAGATTTAAGGGTTTTAATGGACTCCAATCCCCTTATGAGTTTGCAGTGAGACGTGGCAGCCAACAAGGGCAATGTGACCTTGCGCTGCATTAAGAGAGGAAGAGCTTCCAGGAATAGGCTGGTGATACTCCCACTGTGATGTGCCCCCACCAGAACTCATCTGGAGGATTATATTGAGTTCTGGGTGCCACAGTTTAAGAAAGACATTGATAGGAGAGTCCAGAGGAAGCTAGTCAAGATGGAGAAGAGCTTTCAGATCATATCATATTTAAGTTACTTGAAGGAATATTTAGCCTAAGGTAGAGAAGACCTCAGGTGGACACGACAGCTGTTTCCAAGTATTTCAAGGACTGTTATGTGGAAATGGGACTAGGCTCGTTCCTTCTGATCACAGAGAGCAGAGCCAGGAATAAGGAGTGGAAGGTTCAAAGATGCAAATTTAGACTTGATGTCAGGAAAACTTCCTAACAATTATAACTGTCCAAAAATAGAATGGGCTATCTCAAGAGGTAGTGGATTCACCTTCTTTGTAGATCTTCAAGGAGAGATTAGACAACCACTTGAATGTGTTACACAAGGAAATCTTTTCAGGAATGAATGAGACTACATGGCCTCTGACATTCTTGGTAAATTTCAAATTCTATAATGGCAAATCTCAAATTCAATAATTTCTGGGATTTAAATTCTCTCCCCTGGTGTGTTAACTTTCTCTTGAAGCTTTATTCCATTTGTAAATTTAGTAAGCATAATCTATTCCTTCATCAACATCAATGATAAAAACATTTAACAAAATTGGGCCAAGGATAGGATCTTGAAACTCTATATTGGAGATGTTCTTCCTGGTTGGCACTGGTCTCCCTCTCTGACTACTCATTTGGACCTCTCTTCTTTTTTGTTTTCTTTCTTTCTTTCTTTCTTTCTTTCTTTCTTTCTTTCTTTCTTTCTTTCTTTCTTTCTTTCTTTCGGCAACTGAGGTTAAGTGACTTGCCCAGGGTCACACAGCTCATAAGTGTAAAGTGTTTGGTCTGAGGTCACATTTGAACTCAGGTCCTCCTGACTTCAGGGCTGGTGCTCTATCCACTGTGCCACCTAGCTGCTCCTGGATCTCTCTTCTTAAACATCCATATTGTATATACCGGGTGTTGCAAAAGGCTTTGTGCAGTTTTAAATTCTAGTAGCTTAAGACTTTGGAATTGCCTCGATGACAGAGTTGGTTTCATTTTTGTATTTGTATCACTGGTGCCAAGCATAGCACCTAATGCCTAGTAGGTACTTAATAAATGCTTTTTGTGTGATCAGTGTGCTTATGATAGCTTTCATTATAGTTACTAGTTTACATGTTATATTCCCCAACTAGACTGCTAATTACTATCTGTTGAATTTACTAAACTACTCTCTTCTGACTTGGTATGATATGACACCTACATTTCCAGAGTAAAATCTTCATAAATTCCACTCCACACCCTGTCTTTCTCCAAGAACTAGCTTGCTGAAAAAAGTGACCGACAGATTTTTTTAAGTAAAAATGAAGAAACAAACAAACAAAACACCAGGCATTTATTTAAGTGTCATGTTAGGGTAGTCAGGGAACAAGAAGGCAAAATTATCACAGAAGTTCCATCACAATTTCCTCCACAAATCCCCAACTCATTTCTTTGTCTCTCTTTTTTCCCCACTAAAAAAACCCCCACAATCTTTGTAGGTAAGAGGTCCAGAAGGAATAAATCCTCTGTAACCAAAGCTCACATTGATATTACACATTGAGGTTTACAAAAGGGTTAAAATCCTTCTAAGTAATTTGTGCAAATTTTATTATCCTCATTTTATAAAAGAGGAAATTGAGCCTAAAAGAGGTTAGGTGACTTTCCCACTACAACTAAGTACCACAGGTATGACCTAGTCTTAGATTTGCTGACTCCAAGTAAATCACTCTTTCTGGGGAATATTATGCTATGTTCATGGAAAGGACTCTCCCTTGAACATTTGTAAATGTACAAAGATTCCCTGAAAGAATTTTCCCAACCTCTCTTCTGCATCTCTGACTCTAATGGTACTTCTGAGAGGGATTCTTATTAGATTTTGCCCCTCCATCCCCAACTCAAAGTAAAAAGTCCACTTAATTCAATATTGTGTGAAAAGGTTAGGGACTAGACCTCAGATTTCATTAGTATATGGAACTACTAAAAGATGAAACTACTTCTATAATTTCACACAGCCAGAAGTGGGACTTGAACTTGGGTCTTCCAAACTCAAAAGTCAGCTCTCTATCTCTCTCCACTATCATGCTACTTTTATCCTGTGGGATAGAGTTATTTTTCATGGTCAAGTCACACAAAAACTGGCAAAGGATAGCAAGCCCTTCACTTGACTCTTCTAATGCCATTTCTAATGACCTTATCACTTTTCACCTAAACATTTATCATGTCTTCCCGCTAATGCTTTTCAACATCCTTTTTTGCCAAAGCCAAGCTCTGTAGATATTGTCTGAGCCTCTCAACACCTTCTATTATCAATCTCCTGAGACTTTGACACAAGTTCCTATAAATCCTGGCTGTTACCCAATTCTGCAATTCATATTCTCAAAATTCTTTCTGCTTCTGTTACTAATAAATATTTATTCTGAATACATGGCCTAGAAGTTTAAAGAGAATTAAATAAAATCAATCCAAGTGAATTTCATTTTTAATAATCAAAACTGCATATAGAACAGAAGAAATCACAAAACACATAATAAATTTAAGAAAGATAAATCTTTTTTTTATTAGACATTTTTAACATCCTGTTCTCCACTCCTGTTTATTCTTTGTTTCCTTCAACTGTGTCATAAGTCTCTTGTGGCAAGAAGTTTAAAAGACCCAAGTCTAGACTGCAAAGGCCAACTACTACATCGCACGTTAAACACCAGTAATTTTAAAACATAATGTAGTATGTATAGGCAATGTTGGTGTAGTCTATTAATGGAAAATTCCTATCAGAGCAACAAGGAACAACTTACTTGCAAGTGAATGGAAGGCCTTTATTCCTAATACATCGCTTGGCACATTTGTCCGTCGTGTTCAGCCTCTTAGTTTTAATATTCAGTGATGAGTCTAGTCTGATTAGGGTAGTCTTTGCTGACTTTTTGAATTCATGTAGGGTATTTCTTTTCCTCTGGCCCTCTATGAGTAAAAACATTCAAAAGAAAAAAAGCCTTGAAGGATAATATTCAAAAGAATGATTTTGCCTGGCAATGTCAACCTCCGAAAATATTGTTAGGTAAATCATAGTAAGAAGAAAAAGTTAGTTGATAGGGACAAACCAAGGAACTGTCGTCACTCCTGGTCACTAATCTACAGTCTTTCAGAGAGAGGATGCTCTCTCAAACTGGGACAGAGTTCATTCTGAAGAAATAAATAGCATGCTCTTCTCCAAACAGCATGAAAGCAAGAAACAGTGCCAGGAGCATATCATGTCATGTTTTATGTTGTTTCTGCATTTCTTCCTACATTTTGCCCTTATATAAATTATAATAACTAGCAACAGCCATTCAACCAAAGTTTGACAGGATAGACAGAACTCACTAAAATCTGTGCACAGGACACATTGTCCATATTTGTTCTATATAACCATCAGGGAGAGGAGAAAATTATATTACTTAAAAATATTTTCTCTCTCATTTATTATATGAATACATCTTTCTTCCAGATAATAATTTTTTCTATCCCTGTATTGTTTCTCTTGCTATCCAGCCAAGTGTGGTTAATCAAAACTTCATCTTTTAATGAGAGCCTCATTTTTCTTTATAAAAGAGTTCTTCATGGCCACCAGATAGCAAGAAGTTTCCCATTAGAAAGCCAAATAACCCAGAAGGACATGCCATTCATCCTAAAAGGGCTTAATTTTATGTACAGTCTTGGAAGAATTGAAAATGTGATCTTTCACTTACCCATTTACCTCAATTGTCCCAACTCCTAATTGCTACCATTACTCGACCCTGTACTGTTAAGCCTGCTAATAGATTGCAGCTACTGGGCAATCAGGGTAACCACAATCTATTAAATGCCTTATATGGGAGCCATTTCTGAAGCAAGAGAGCTTTCTTTCCTCTGCTTTAGTATTTTCCACTTAGGACTACACAAGCTTTTTACTGGGATGGGAATGGAAGGGAAGAACTATACATGTCCTTTCTGTACTTAGTAGACAAGAGAGAAGTATTTATAAGAAGTCAGAAGATCAGTAGAGAAAGTAGGGAAACTGAGTAAAGACAGCAAAAAAAAATCAAACAAAAATATTAAAAGTCCCAAGGAGCTGAAGTCCAAATAGGAGATGGGACTTTTATGAGGTAATAGTAGGAGAAGTAGATTTAGAAAGAGAAAAAAAGAAGGATTGGGTGGGTTTTTTTTCTTTAAATTTTGTTTTTCAATTAGCAAGCACTGCTCTTCTTCCATTTTGTAGAATTCTTCATCATCAGTCCTAGCAAATGGAAGTTCTGTTTTATTTTATTTTGTTCTGTTTTAAGGTGGTAACATGTATATAGACAGCTTGTGGAAGCATTTCCTATGAGTTAAATTTGCACACATGAATGAAGAAGCAACACACACTGGGACTGTAACAAAGGGGACATTAAACATGCAAAAAAAAAGTACCAAGAAGGCAAAACTCCAGGTTCATAAAAACTTAGAAATATGGGGTAACACAATGAAATGCCAGAAATGGCATCACACTTTGACTTTGCCAGCAACCACTGGCTCCTATTGGCTTATTAAACATTGAGGCTTTATTTATCAACTTCTGCTCTGATCTGAAGATTACTATGAATTAAAGAAAAAGCATCCAGAGCATGCTTTTCAAAACCTTCATGTTTCTTAGAAGAAAAATCTTTACCCTATAATCTGTAATAGGCATACTCCTATACATTATATACATGAACATTATATACATCATATGTATATATCAACATGTGAAGGATCCATAATTTCATCAAAATGGATATCCCATTTACTGATGCAGATTTCAACCCCCTTGTGCTTCTATAAATGGCCTGATAAATTGTTGTTGCCAAAAAAAAAAGTTCATCAACTGATAAATTACCCTTTCCTATGATGAGCTCATCCAAACTAGGCCAGTCTTTTAAATATCGACATTCAGTCTATCCTATATTAGAAACTTTTCTAGCTTGATCAAATCTTCTAGCTCATGAGATTTAGAGCTATTTTAGCCCTAAAAATTATTCATTCCAACCCACTACCTTTTACAGTTAAAAACAAACCAACTACCCTTAAGGCACAAATAGGTGAAATGAGCTGCCCATACAAAAAAAGCAAGAGAACCCAGGTTTTCTGATGTCAAATCTATGCCTTTTCCATGACTTCATGAGAATTATAACCCAGGGCCCTTTCACTTTTTGAGGAAGCAGCTAAATAGAAGTTTAACAGAAAACAGTTTTGGGGCAGCTAGGTGGTACAGTGGCTAGAGCACCAGCCCTGGAGTCAGGAGGACCTGAGTTCAAATCTGCCCTCAGATACAATACTTCCTAGCTGTGTGACTCTGGGCAAGTCACTTAACCCCACTTGCCTCACTCAAAAAACAACAACAACAAAAAACATTAAGACAGTTCCATGTGGACACTTGAAAAGGTAATGATAAAATTTAGTCAAACAAATCAATACATCATCAACTGTTTGAGTTTATACTATGCACCTAGCACAACACTAGCTGCCAGATTATAACTATACTTCTCTTATCAAACAGCACTGTCTCACATAAGAACCAAATATCTCTCCCATTGATTTCTACCTGAGAAGTTGTTTTGATAAGCATTAAAGAGTAAAGTGTTCATTAAAGATTCTAAAAGCTTAGGTAAAAAGAAGTATGTGAATTTGAAGTCTTAGGATCCATGCTTCCATTTTTTTCAGGGAAAGATTCTGAAGAAAGTGTCATTCTCTCAAGTAAAGGATGTGCAAAAGTCTTCAACTTCTGGCTTCTATTACAATATTCTATTAATGAGAGATAAGTTTTTACATAAAGAGTTTTTACTTCCTTTGACCTCTGTGTACTGTTTTCCAGCTGTCAGGAGTCATCCTAATCTTAAAATATTTTTACTTCATTTTTCATTTTGTATATTTCCCAGAAAATTGTGGAAGTAAATGAAAGCAGAAAATCTATTAAAATAGGGTGACTTCCTTAACAACAGCATGAGCAAAGTATATGGTTATTGGAAAAGTTCTCCAAATGAATCATGTTAACAAAAAAAAAAAGAAGGTGGTTCTTAAAATTGGCACAATATCATCTTGTACAGCTGATGTGAAATGATTATGTGCAGCCAGGGGCAGGAGACTGCATAAAGAAATTAGTAAGTCTAAGGTGGCAGATAGGTGACACAGTGGATACAGCATCGGCCCTAGATTCAGGAGGACCTGAGTTCAAATCCGACCTCACACACAAAATACTCACTAGCCGTGTGACCTGGGCAAGTCACTTAACCCCCACTGCCCCCCCAAAAAGAAATTAGTAAGTCTGAAGGGAAAAAAAAATTAAAGCCGGAAGAATGATATAGTTGTAAATGGTTTTCATTAGACAAGTAAAATCAAACAGAACTTCATGTTTGCACTGAGATTTTATGGTCTTATACTTTTTTCATATCATGAATGAAAAAAAGTTAACACATTTGGGTTAAAGGGAAGACAACTTTGTTGCAAATGCCATTTTGTTTGTGCACTATGAGTCCTCAGATTGTTGATTGGTTTTTGTTGTTGTTGTTGTTTGTGGGGTTTTTTTTGTAATATCCTTATTTTTCTTCTATTTCAGTCCTTTAATTTTAATAGGTCAGTGACTCATTCAAAATTCAGATTCTAGGCAGTGCCTACATCATATAAAACTTCAGAACTCATAAACCTAGAAAATATATCTCCTCTTGAAAGAACTAAATGCAAAAAAGATGTCATTCAAAAATGACACTGAAAAATAAAATTCATTGCTACAAAATATCAAGTTCCAACTTTATGCATATATGTATGTATGTGTGTGTGTATGTATGTGTGTGTACATGTGTATATGTATGTCTCTACAACTGATTCCTGTCGCATCAGAAATACCAAAGATTAAATTCAGAAGGATCTTATTACTCTTTGGGGGGAGAAGATTGTTGGGTATTGAGTAGAACCTTCAAAGTTTCTAAACACTTATCCTACTTAAAGTCTCTCTGCATCCCCCACCCCATATATATGTATATATGCATTTATATTATATATGTATGCCTGTACTGCATATGTACTATATAAACATAGTGTATATTGAATAGAGATTTTACGCTAGATGAGTGTTAGAAACTTTAATTAAGAGCTATCCCTCCCCCCTCAAAAAAAGGTGATATCCTTCCCAATTGAATCTTTAGTATTTTCAGTGCAATAAGAATTAGTTATACAGACACACACATACATATGTACACACATATAAACACATGTAGAAAGAGAGAAAGAAAAGTTGGGAATATATTCTGTAACAAAGAATTTTATTTTAGGTGTCATTTTTCACATATGTATTTGTGTATATATGGGCATATGTATATATATATATATATATATATATATATATATATATATATATATATATATATATATATATATATATATATATTTAAGACAGGGGTTCTTAACTTCTCTTCCACAGACCTCCAAGGGGTTCCTACAGAGACTTCAAGGGACCCATGAACTGGGTTAAAAAAATCTTTAAAATTCATTAACCTTTGGTTTCTTTAAATTCCTATTTTATTTTATGCATTTAAAACTGTATCCTGGGGAGTCCAAAGGCTTTACCAGGCTGGCAAAATGTTCCCTGACACAAGTAAGGTTAAGAAACCTTGTTAAAACAATGACTAAAACAATGGACCTGTCATTTAAATCCTGGATCAGTCACTTAAAGTCTTTCAGTCTCACTTTCAATTTCTGTAAAATGAAGGTAGTATCAGTAGAACTTATCTGACAGTATTGTATTGAGGATTAAATCAAATGAGATAGTGTATTCTAAACATTCTGCACACCTTAGAGAACTACAGAATGTCAGGATTTTTAAATTGTTGTTGTTGTTGTTGTTGTTGACTACTACTCCTACTCCTACTATCACTACACATCTGATTATGCTGTGTCACTCTCCTGCTCAAAAGCCTTTGAGTGGCCCCCTGTTGCCTATAGAACAAAATACAAACTCCAAAACCTAACATTTAAGGTCTTTTACAATGTGGCTCCAGCTAACCTTTTCCATCTTATTTCATTTTATCACCATTCTTATACTCCATATTCAAATCAAATTGTACTTCCACACGTTCCTCAAATTCAACATTTTCTCTCTTCCCTCTCTGCTTTCCCATAGGCTAGCTCATCCTTTCAAGAGATTCCCTTTTCGTGTTCACTTCCAATAACCTTTACATTCCTTCAGGAATCAGCTCAGGTTTCACCTAGTCAGGAAGTCTTCTCTGAATACCTCAGTGACATATTGTCTTCTAAAATTATAATCATGTTTGTTGCTGAGTCGTTTCAGTCATAGTTGACTGTTCATGACCCCATTTGGAACCGGTTTTCTTGGCAAAGATACTGGAATGATTTGTCATTTCCTTTTCCAGCTCATTTTAAAGATGAGGAAACTGAGGCAAACAGGGCTAATTGACTTGCCCAAGGGTACATAGCTAGTAAGTACCTGGGGCCAGATTCAAACTCATGAAGATAAGTTTTCCTGATTCCAAGCCCAATGCTCTATTGAGTCACCTACCTGCTCAAAATTATAATTGTAACATCACAGATGTGGATTCAGAAGGGACCTCACATGCCACCTATCGTGATGTCCATTTTGTAGATGAGGAAACTGAGGCTCAGAGAAGTTAAATGATTTGCCCAATATCACAGAGGTGACCTTGTTGACAATATGGTGGCTGGCACATAGTAGGCACTTAATAAATGTTCATTGAATTGGTAAGAGTAAACCTAAGCTTTGAATCTTGGTTCAAACCTATAATATATCTACACCACACTGCTTTCCATATTCACTTATCTATGTACACATTGTAGCCATCCTCCTACCACACAGCCAGATATAGATAGGCTCCTTAAGAGCAAGGGTTGGAGCCAGTGCCTTGTACATAATAAAGGCTTAAAAAGAATTTGTTGAATTAAAGACAGCTTTGACTAAAATAAAAGGGCAAAAGCATCCTTGAAAATCACTATCATTCCTTCCCACTCTCAACACCCCCCAGGGAAAAGCTCTGGGTAATGGAAGGATATGGGAGAAATATTTTGGTGAATATGTTCCCTATCTAGTCCCTTATTTAACTTACTTATTCAAGACTTAACATTGTTAGGAACATAGTGAAAAGTAACACCAAATAGTGCCAAATGTATTGAGTCCAAGGTGCTTTAAGAAAGACATATTTCTCCCTTTGGTCCCTGGGCCAGATATTCATTTCTCTTAGTACCTCATATATTTTCCTCTATGTGGGAGCTCCCAGTAACTTCAAAGGGAGGTCAGTACAGGAAAAGGATCTGCAGAGTGTGGAAAGAAACAGGAATCTGGCTCCATTCACTCTGAAAAGTCTGTCCATATGATTAAGGATTAGCAAGTATGAAGTGGTGAGATGTTAAGATGACAATAAAAAAATAATTAAAAGGAATGGAGAACAGAGGATGTGTGACTCTGGGAAGAAAGGCTCTCTAGAAAAATATACACTTTCATAATTATTTTCATAGACAACCAGAATTTCTGAGACACCAAAGAAACCTATAAGATACAGAAGAAAGTGTAAAATCACAGCATCAAAAGATCCATAGATCTATTGATAGGAGAAAATAGTGTAGAAATCATACACGGATTTGAATGAATAGTTTATCTTTCAGAAATGGTTCACAAATATGTCCTAGTTTGGTTTAGATGAAACTCTGCTGTTCTCTATAAGCCCAATAATCCCCCTAAGATAATAAGATCATAGATTTACAGCTGGAAAAACTTTTAGACGCCATCTAGCTTTGTTGTTATTGTTGTTCAGTTGTTTACTCTTCATGACCCCTTTCAGAATTTTCTTGGAAAAGATACTAAAATGGTTTGTCATTTCCTTCTCCAGCTTATTTCACTGATGAGGAAATTGAGGCAAACAGGATTAAGTGATTTGCCCAGGGTCACTCAGCTAGCAAGTGTCTGAGGCCAGATTTGAAATCAAGGTTTTCCTGACTTCAGGCCCCAAGCTCTATTCACTGTGATACCTGGTCACCCATAGTCTAACCATGCAGTTTTATAAGATGAAGAAACTAAGACCAAGAAAATTTAGGTGAATTTGTGGGGTCACCCAGGTAGTAAATGACAGAGTCCTAATCTGACCCCAGATTCTGAAACTACAAGTGTAGCATACTTTCTTCTCTTCATTTATTGTTGTGGGAAACTACTTCCTAAGTAAAAGTGCCTCTGGTACCTCCCACTCTCCACTGATTGGTTGTCTAGTAAACCTTTTCTTCACGTTCACCTGGTACCCAGGACCACAGACTTTTACAACTGAAAGTGACCTAACACATCATGTCTTCCAAACTCCTCATTTAACAGACGGGGAAACTGATTAACTAGAGATAAAGTCACTTGCTTATAATCAGTTTAGTATTATGTTGGAAACTGTTGATTTGAAGAGAGATTTCCTGGCTCACAGTCCCATGTTCTTCTACCACAATGCACTGTTATTACTAGGTTTATGTTTCTGTGTTTTTTTTTTAACAACTAGCTGACGTTTATATCATACTTTGCAGTTCACCAAGCAGTTTCCTTGGAACAACCCTGTTATATAGTTATCACTGTCCCCATTTTGTAGATGTGAAAACTGAAGCTCACAGAGATTAAATGATTTCACTTGATTAACCACCTAGAAAGATGCAGAGAGACTTCTGAAACTTATGTTTTCTGACTCTAACTACAATGTCCTTTGTGCTGCACCAAGGTGCCTCTAATACATAACTATAGCTCTATTTTCATATGTCATAAGACCAAAGCATACAATAATAAAAACCGAAGAGCTCATCTCATGCAATTAGATGACAAGAAAAAGAAACATCCTTTTCTGTATATCTCAAAATGGTCTATCAATTGCATTAATTATATTGTACACAGTTCCAAAGGAAGGTTATACATCAAAAACTATCGAGCTAAACCTACCTCCCAAGCAAAGTAGCATCAACTCTCAGACATCCACTGCATGAATTATCCATGGCAAATTTGTAATTCCCTCTTGGTCTCCCCCTACTAACCAACACACTTCTGAGAATGCAAAATCATTTCAACATTAGCCAAAGTAAAGTGTAATTAGGAAGGTAAATCCACTGCCAAACTCATATATTATAATTCATTTCAAAAACAGAGTTATTCTCTCAATTATTTGCTGTGTGGACTTACAACTGAGAGGAAAGTATCATTAACAATGCTGTGATACTTTCTTTAGAAACTATAATTTCCCAAATATTAGCCATTATTTGAACCAAATTTTAAAACTTTCTACAGGTGTTCCTGACCTATAAGAAACCACTATAATAAAGTGATTAGTAATCATAATTTACCTACTTAGTATATTTGGACACATCTGGATGAAGAGAAGTCTACTTTTTCCTTTCTCCAGAAGTCTCATCAAAAAGCATTCTAGTTGACCATTCTCAACCCAATGGCCTCCCTCCATAACTTCACAAAATAAATACACCAAAGGAAAGCAAATTCCCAAAGGTTGATGATTTTCTTTCCCATCTACTTAGCTCATTTTTAGTGTTGTCAACCCCTGGATTTCATCAGAAACTGGATCATCAATCTGATTATTTATACCTAATTTAGTTCAAAAGATATAGCCAATTCTTTGTGTTGGACTTGGAAAAGGCTCTATCTACCATCTGGTCATTCATTCCAAGCTTTGTATTCCCCCATGCCCTAGACGTTCACTGCTTTCTCACTTCAATATTCTAGCCACTACAATGATAATACAACCAAATACAGATGTTTCCTCTTGTCCTGATAAGGACTATAAATTCCTAGGAGCAGCAAATGAAATATTCTCTAAACTACCCAGACAATAGTCATTCCCAAATGACTCCTTTAGAACTCTTAAGTTTGGGGTAGAAAGTGAGAAAAAAAAACAGTGAAGTTGCTCTTGAGCCTAATCAAAGCCATACCCATACCATTTATGCCTTCTATGCATGGCAGCTACCCAAGGACAGCTACCCATGGAGGGAGGAGGAGAGAGAGAGGAAGAGAGGGAGAGAGACAGAGAGAAAAAAAAAGAAAGACGAGTAAAAGAGAGGAGACAGAGTTGAGAGAAAAGAGAACAAGATTACATTTTTGTAGCATGTACACATTTGGTGTTTGATTTGTATTTCTCAAATAAAAACCTGTACATATCACAATTAGAGGCTGAATCTTGGATTGTAAAATGGGTGCATAAATTATTTTTGGAGAGATGTCTTATCTAGAAAAAGGATGAATCCCCACAATCCTGTCCATCACTCAGCTGCACTCCAATTCATATCCTCTCCCCAGCTTTAAACTTCCCCAAACAGGCAAAGTTCCAAACTTGTGTTAGCACTTTATTTCTGTCCCACAATTCACAACCCATTAGGCTAGTGAGAAGGAGAGGATGGTATTGATGAGCCGTTAATTATCCTTTAAAAGGCTTTTCAACACAAAAGAGAGGTTAAAAAGAAAATGCACGAAGAGGGTGGGTTTCTTTTTTAAAGACATTTAAACTTAGAAAAGAAGAGATGCAGAAGGTAGGTTGTTTTTTTAATGAGCAAGGAAAAAGAAAAAAAAACTAACCTGCAAAGGAAATGGTGATGGGAAGAAGAAGGAGATGTTGAAGAACCTGATGCAGCACCAGTATTGGCAGAAGTTGGGTCACCCACATGGTGCTGGTCTTGCTGGCAGATCACACAGAAGGAGATGCCTGCTTGAAAGGATCCTGTGTAGAGGCAGTTACTAAAGGAGCCAGCCTGCACCGAGCTGCTTTTTATTACGATGAGCTAAGTTTGTTGTGTGATTAACTGGAAAGATCTAGGTCTGAACTCCCTCTTACGGTAAGAAACTGCTTAACAACAGCCCTTAACTCTTGTCCAACTTCCCCCCTTCCCCCCCACCTCCCCTCTAAACAACACCAAACAGATTCCAGCCCCTTTCCCTAGCTTAGGAAGGAAACTTACAAAGAATAGGTCACCTGGCTTGAGGCCAGCTTCAATTTGGAAGCGTAAGCACCAGATCCCTGTGACTCGAATCAGAATAGGGAAGAGGAGGAGGAAGATGCAGACCCGCCAGTTAAAACTAGGCAGGCAACAAGGACCAATCCTCTCCATTTAAAAGCAACGAAATACAAGTGTTCAGATGTCTATTTGGGAAAAAGAGGAAGGGGAAGCAGAAATATCTGAAACCAGAGAGTTGCCCTTCAGCAAAATGTGCCCTAAGCTACTGATCCTGGGTGGTTTCACTTCTAGAACCACCTGGGGATTCCAGTTAAAGATATTCATTCCCTGGGGTTTTGGAGAATGAGGGAGGAAGGAAATCAGCCGAGCCTGGGGTCCGACCTTGCAAAGGGTGGGGCTAGAGCAGGTAGAGAGGGGTATAATGAGGAAAGAGTTGTAGTCGTGGGGAAAATAGCCTTGTTCTCAGGTGGGGAGGATCCCCTGATAGCTTTGGGCCAGAACACACACGTGCACACACGCACACACCTCCAGGTGTTTGACAGACTACATCAGAACTAGTTGCCTGTTTGGGGAGCTGGGATAAAATCAGGTGACATTATCTGCAAGAATCTCCACAAGACTGGAACAGAAAGGTCTGTCTCAAAGCCACCTCTTTCCCACCTCATTCTGCAAGTCAAGGTAAATAGATAAATACAATATGAGAATAAATATTTCCTGTGACCTAATTTTCTTTTTAAAGAGAAGGTGGGAAGCCCCCCAAATCCTAAGCTTTCTAGTAGGTGGTAGATCACCGTGCTGACCGCAGAGGCAATATTTTTATTACTCTGGAAAGAACACAGACTGTCAGGTCTGAGGGACCTGGGTGGAAATTCTCAATCCCCAGTTGTAACTTTGTGTGCTCTGCCCCGCTGCAATTGGGAATTTCTATGTTTGGGAGGTTTTATCAGCCAGTTGGCAGTCAAATGTTTATTAAGCTCCTAGGACACATAGAAAGCATAAGGTAAGAAGTATAAAGTGCAATGAGAGGGATTCACATGTTAAATCACTTCCCACACCCTCTCTGGATGATCCCCCGGGTTTTTCTTTGCTGCTGTTAACACAGGTACTTGGATTCTTATATCCCAGTTTAGGAAAAGCTCTGAGGATTTTGAGGAGAGTCCTGGGACCAGTGGTAACTTTGAAGTAGCTTCAGTTAGGTGCCAAGGAAATTAGAACAGTTGTCCTCCCAGCACTTTGACCAACATTCTTTTTGCCCAGCCAACCTAGAGGAAGTGGTAGAGAAGAGGGGAGGGAGAAAGAGGAAAGGATAACTAGGGGAGTAGGGTAAGGAAATGGTGTTATGGAGCAGCCTATTTTCATTGAGAAATGGGGAGCAAAACGAAAATCACCAAAAGATTAACACCTACCCCCAACCTCATGTACCATAAGAATTGGTTCCTTGCCTACTCCCAAGGATCTCTTCTTCCTCCCACTGACCTTTCCCCTTCTCCCTCCCCACTACCATCCCAATTCAATCAATATGTCTTATTTCTTTATAGGTTCTGGGCTACTTGGGAAATTTAGGAATTAGAAAATTTGCATTTAAGTAGTTGAGAGAATGCTAATATTATCATGATTGATCTATGATTATTGCTGTCCTCTTTTCACTGAGAAACAAACATATGAAAATACAAGAAGACAGAAAACCTCTCATGGGTATTCATAGGATCATATGTGTAGAGTTATAGGGGACTCAGTTTATTAGGTACTTTAATAGCTACCTCTCACTTTCCTCTCAACAAATGGATCTCAAAATTCTAATATTCCATGCTCTGTCCACCATTGCAACACACTTTTTTTTCTGACTTTTCAAACCATCTTTGCTGTGGCAGAAGGGCTCATTAGATTTGCTAAGGGATATATAGATAGATATAGATATATAGTGTGTGTATGTGTGTGTGTATATATATGTATTGTGTGTGTGTGTATATATATGTATTGTGTGTGTGTATTGTGGAGGAATTAAAGTGTTGAAGTATCTTCTCTGGGAAGTGGAGAGTACTGTTTCAAGTGTGTGTGTGTGTGTGTGTGTGTGTGAGAGAGAGAGAGAGAGAGAGAGAGAGAGAGAGAGAGAGAGAGAGAGAGAGAGAGAGAGAGAGAGAAAGAGGAGAGAGGGAAGCAAAGGTTATAACATTAAAGCAATTTTCATTAATTACAGTGGCAGGCTTAAATTATGCTGAGTTATAATCAAAAAGCATTTATTCTTTGATTACTATGTGCCAGGCAATGCTAAGTGTTGGGTACACTATGAAAGGTAAAAACAGCTCCTGCCCTCAAGGAGAACACATTCTAATGAGATGACATAACAAGCTATATACAGAGTAGATAGGAAGTCATCTCAGAGGGGAGGGTACTATCAGAAGGTGGTGAGAAGAGGCTGGAAAAGGCCACCTGCAGAAAGTGGAATTTCAGTTGAGACGTGAAGGAAGCCAAAGAAACCAAAACACAGGGGTTAAGAGGGAAAGATTTCCAGACTTGTAGGGACAACTAGTGCATGGAATGTGAGGAACAGCAAGTAGACCAGAGTAAGTGTGTGGAGAGCAAGTAGATAAGAAAGTGTCCGATTGTAAAGTGTTGTAAATGGCAACGGACTTTATATTTGATCCAGTAGGTAATAGGGAGCCACTGGAATTTATTGAAGGTGGCAGGGTTAACTCGGTTAAACCTATGATTTAGGAAGATCACAGTGGAGGCGAGAGAGAAACTGGGGCAAGGAATATTTAGTAGATCACAAAGTTTCACAATTTTTGATTATCAGACCTTATGACAACAACAACAAAAATAACAAACATTCATTGGCTTTTAGTCTGTAATTCCGCGCCCCACCGCCCCCACAAGAATTTTTTTTTAATTGAGACTTTTTGTTTGGACATTTTAATTCTACCTATTTTCTCCACTCACCTCACGTATTTCTCTGGGGTGGGGGTGGGGGTGGCTGAAGTTTTAAATGAAAGTATGCATATGAAAGTACTTTGAGAACTATTAAGTCATATAAAGAGTATCCTAAAAGTCTTAGACTAAGACTGTACAAATGTAAAACAACATTGTCATCGTAAGCCATAACAAAACGTTTTGTGTGCCTTTCCAAATCAAAGTCCAAAATCCTCCTCACCCTCTTCCTTGCTTTTGTCTTTCTTTGTTGAAAGTAAAAGCTAAAAAGTAAAATGTATGCCTACAATCGAGCAAAAAGTTTGACTAATTCAGCAGCCAGGACAGATTTCAGTTACAAGGAGATTTTTAAGCACAGTGGCAACATATTCAAGAATAGAGTAGTAATTTACCTGCCTTGGAAACTGTGGACAGAATTTTGCCTGGAGCAAACAGATAGATAAGATGGTTTCCAGAGGCCCCTTCCAAATCTAGTGTCAATTTGAAAAGTACTGCCTTCATTAGAATGTTCAAAGAAAAAGCCTTCAAATGTATGTTTTAAAATGCTAAACTCAGTATAAAAAAAAACCCAACCTCTGGAGATACATACACACACACACACACACACACACACACACACACACACACACACACACACGCGCATATATATATATATACATATACATATTTAAATACATATATACACATACACACATATATGTGTGTGTGTGTATGTGTATATATATATATATATATGCGTGTGTGTGTGTGTGTGTATATATAGATATAGATATCTATCTCTTGAGCATGAAAGACAAGCTGGTATGACAAGAAAACAACTGGGCCATCCCTCAAGAAACCTGGATTCTAGTCCCAGCTCAGCTAATCATTAGTCATAGCATATTGATTGCTTCAGTCACCCAAGGTCTCTACATTTCACTTTTCCCACTTGTAAAATGAGAAACTTGGATTTTTACAAAGTTTTCTGGTCCCTTCCATGTTCTATTTATTTTGAGAAATTTTAATAGGTTGGGTTTGTTTTTATTTTGTTTTTTTTTTTTTCTGGTTCTATAGTCTTCTCAGCTATAGCTTTCAAGAAAGCCACGAAAGGCTCTCTGGCATTATTTATCTTTTCTGCACTGTCATGTTCTCCTTCCTAGCTTTTCTCTAATTTTATTCCTCAGGAGACAGTAATACAGGGGTATGCTTGAGTTTACTTATTCTACAGGAGAACTAATCATTAAATTTTCAGTGTGAGCATTTGTAACTGAGAAAGTGACAAATGCTACCAATCAAGGTTTTGTGTGTTGCTTTGATTGTCTAAACTTAAGGAAATTAGGAGAAAATAATGCAGATTAAATTTAAAAGTTTGTTGTGCATGTTTTTACGGCAGGTTGTTAAATATGTACCAGCACATCCCCAAACTATCCTATCTTGAAACCATAGCCCTTAATGATTCCATATCGACTGTCTTTACAATATAAAGCATATAGCTACTGCATAGTTTTTTGATTGTGTACATTTTTCTGAAATAGTAGTGACTGCCTTCAATCTTCCTTCATTTCAGATTAAATTAATTTACCAAATATTTATTAAAGATGTGCTATATGTCATACACCGTGCCAAATTCTAGACATCAATGAGAAAAATGTTAACAATCCCTGCCTTCAGTCATTTTACATTCTACTGGAAGGAAATAGAATGTATGCAGATAAATACAAAATCTATTCAAAGTAATTTCATGGGGAGAGGAATACTTACACTTGGTGAGCTAAGGAAGGATACTAATTTTTTTTTATAGGAGGTGGTATTTGAGTTTGGCCTTGAAGGTAAATTAAGTATTCCTGAAGTAGGAAAGCCTTCCAAGGGAGTGTGATAAGTCTTTGCAATGCTGAGTTTGGGAAACGGAAACAACAATTTGGGTGGGGTATAGCTTGTTAGGAGAGAAAGGGGGA